AAGAATATAAACTGTATTCCACTGGAAAGGTATTAGAAGAGTGTAAAGTGTATTCTACTGGAAAGTTATTAGAATAATGTAAACTGTATTCCACTGGAAAGGTATTAGAAGAGTGTAAACTGTATTCCACTGGAAAAGTATTAGAAGAATGTAAACTGTATTCCACTGGAAAGGTATTAGAAGAGTGTAAACTGTATTCCACTGGAAAGGTATTAGAAGAATGTAAACTGTATTCCACTGGAAAGGTATTAGAAGAATATAAACTGTATTCCACTGGAAAGGTATTAGAAGAGTGTAAAGTGTATTCTACTGGAAAGTTATTAGAAGAATGTAAACTGTATTCCACTGGAAAGGTATTAGAAGAGTGTAAACTGTATTCCACTGGAAAGGTATTAGAAGAATGTAAACTGTATTCCACTGGAAAGGTATTAGAAGAATATAAACTGTATTCCACTGGAAAGGTATTAGAAGAGTGTAAAGTGTATTCTACTGGAAAGGTATTAGAAGAATGTAAACTGTATTCCACTGGAAAGATATTAACAATAATTGGGTCCTTTGTTTTCATGGCTTTGCTAAATACTGATATATTATATGTAATATATTTTTCAAAATAATTTTGGCAATAGAAAAAAAAGAAAACATTGTGCTACGTATCATGAAAACATAAAATTATGATAATATTTTTCTAATAAATCAAGGCAACTTAATTGATAGAATGTTTTCGATACCATTAGAATTATAGCAAAATGTTAAACATTTTTCTCATAGAATGTCTTCAGTGAGCTTTAGAATATCTATATAATTAGTTTATAGAATGTCTTTAGAGAACTTTAGAATTTCTATATAAGGATTTATAGAATAGCTTCAGAGAACTTTGGAATTTCGATATAATTGCTTTGTGGAATATGTTTAGAAGTCTTTAGAAAATGCCCCCCAGTAGCACAGCGGTATGTCTGCGGACTTACAACGCTAGAAACCGGGTTTCGATACCTGTGGTGGGCAGAGAACAGATAGCCCCTTGTTTAGCTTTGTGCTTAATTCCAAACAAACAAACAAACTTTAGAAAATGTTATAGAAAAAAAGGCATACTTTCTTAAAGACATTTATTAGATTCTATAAAACAATTCTATACGTTTTCTATAAGACAAAAGTGAGTGTTTTTCTATAGAAAATCTATATAAGTGTTTATAGAATACTTTTAGAATATTTTTCTAGCGATATAGCTTTGAAGAATGATATTAATCACATGTGAGTTTGGAAATTTGTGCCAACACGAAGGAAAGTTATTTTCTTTCAAACTTCTCCAAGTTTACCAGTTTCAACTTTCAGATAAGTAATGAAGAATTAATAGAAGACGTGACTTTTTGTTTTTATTGTGTATCTAAAAATAAGTATGGCAATGGAAGAGTTACTTATTTATATCTTCTTTGCTTATTATTAAAATACCTACTGATTAAATCTTACATTTATAAATAAATATAAATATAAATATTAACATGATAGAATAATCATATTCAGGGCCGGCGCTCGACTGCGGGTGAAACACATGCGTTTGCACAGTGTGGCAGATTCTTGGGGGCGAGAAATATGAATTTCAGAAAATTGATTGTGGTCACCAGCTGCTCCCTGCCCGAGCGAAAAATTCCCCGTCAGGCAGAACCGGCATTCTACGGTAAAGCATACAGCTAGAACATAACACTGGCGCTGAAGATTCCCGAAAAATGTGTAGGGAGGTGGGTGGCACAGTCATCGTTTGCACAATGACGATTCAAGAATGTTATATATATTGTTTCCTCTTAGCGAGAGTAGCGCGTTCACGTTTGAAAAAATTTGGGCCGTCACCAATTGTCTCTAAATTAAACAAAAAAACGTTTACCGGAACTCATATTTTCCAGTTTTATGTTCAACTAGTACGTTCCAAAGTGTTGAACATAAGTAAATCATGTTTGTCTAATATCAATGCTAAAAACAACTTTCTGGCAACATGGTGGCAGCACTGAATATAGCTATAAGGAGGGTATCCCTTGGTTTCCCCACTTTACCTTTTGTATGCGCTAAACCAGTAGAACATGCAATAACATTTAGAATTTATCTAAATGTACAAAAAACGTTACCTTCCTGCTGGAGACATCTCAATATGACCTCTCGAGCTATAAAAATTGTTGCATCATGTTGTGAGAATCTCTCATGGTTCGCTTTGTATGACCTCTCTAATTATATCTGGTGGCGTGCAACATTTATCGATGACATGAAGCAGCTTTTAACTACAGCTCCTGAAGTATGCAGTGGTTTCAGCAGCTCCTGGTGTATTCAGGAGTTTCAGCAGCTTCTAACTACAGCTCCTGAAGTATCCAGGAATTTCAGCAGCTTCCAACACAGACCCTGAAGAAGTATACATGGGTTTCAACAGTTTGTAACTATAGCTCCTGAAGTATATAAGGGTTTCATGGCTGGCGATTTTGTTGTGGAAGAACCTGGACTAAAGTTCAACCAACGTCTTGAACATTACAACAGGGCTGCCAAAATAGCTGGAGGACTCGTAGGTATTACTAGAAATGACCTTCTTTTCATGCTTACTGGTTTAGTCAGGTATCTCAGACACGAGATATGGATGCAGTATGGAGCACTTAAAACATCACAAAGTATAGGTGTCCATGGTATCGAACTTCCACGAGATGCGGCTATTTGTATTTCACACTGCCACAGGCTGAGACAGCACCGGCCAGTTTTCTGGCATTGGAAAAAAAAAGTCAGCATTGGAAGTTTTTTAAAACATTCATATCTACTTAACAATACTAAGTCACAGTTATAAATCAATGTTCCATGTTTATATATTACAAAATGCACGAACTTGTTTCAAGTGGTACCTGTATTGGTTGCCTTCCGGAGCAGTCTGTGACATAATTACAGATAACTGGAAGGGTCTGATTTTGAAAGATTAGAAGCAAAATTCTGAGTGAAAACATATGAATTATTTTTAGCTGTCACTCTTTTGACAATATTAACAGAGTTTCGAGAGTGCACTCGAAAAAAAGCTAGCGGAATCATTACACGAATCATTGCCTGATTTTACGATAGTGCTTCTTTGACATAACTGAAAAACTGGAACGATACGTTAGAGATGTTTTCCTTCCCAATCGGCAAAATATGTTGTATTTTCATAAATATAATTCAAAACGTCAACGTAGTCAGATTAAAAACATTCTAATTTGAAACAACTTTATTTAGATGAAAGAAAAACGTTTTTAATAGATTCGTTTCAACGCTTCGACAACATAACTGTGCATGTAAACGAATTTTAAAAGGTGAACATTATCTGAAGTTTATGTTGACTTAAACACTAAACTAAACTTTTCTTAATGTAGAAGAAACTTAAAAGCGAGTCACTTTAGATGAACACTGCCACCTACATCATGAATCTTAAAGTGTCTCGGATTATCTGTTTTGATTTCTTTAAATGAAAATAGAACATGTTCAACATTATATCACAGCTTAACTAACATTTTATTAAAGTCAGTTTAAGCATGATAATCTAATCTTGCACAGAATATCCAGCAGTCACTATTCTGACTATAATATATACATTTAATGGCGTCAGCGAGTACTCCACTGTCTAACAAAATGGATAATAAATGAATAACCACACAACTTACCTATTTTGTTTTTCTAGTCGGGCAAGAAGCTGGAGATCTTCTTTACTACATGACTGCCTTTTATCATTCTTCAGTTCCCCTTTTAACAACTTCTTCACGGGCGTACAAGGGACAGAGCTGGCAGAAGACTCCGTTACCAAGGTAGCGCAAAGCTCGTTCATTCTGGACCTGTAAACCTTCTTCTACATCAGGCATAACATCACCGTTTGGGTTCTCGTTTCTGCTGGAACTAGAATATCTATAGAAAGAACGATCTGAAGTTAACAAGAACTGGCGGATGTTGCACATTCTACCACAGATCGATATATCGATCAAGCACATACGTGTATGTATAAGCTCCTACTCTGTAATTGATGTTGATATAGGATAGACAATAAAATAGATGAAACACACACGTACACAACACACTACAGTATTTTTTATACTGCAATTATTGGAGAGGTAAAAGGGAGAACTAATATAACTCCTGTGTAGTGTCGCATATGCGATAATATGTCGTAATACGTTCACTTCGTGTGAACAATGAAAACCAGCACGAACTTTAAATAAATAATAAAATAAATGCGAATTCAAGTGAGGCTTCAGGTTACAAGTAAGCATACACTTCCACATACTGATGTCAACCTTGTAATTCATTTTGACCAATTGATTTTGAATTCTAAGAACTTATGAGTTAAAGTAAAGAAGAATATATTAGAATATGTCATTCATACTACAGCTGCTATATCTAGTGCTGACGATGCCTTTCGCCCAATATCAAGGCTCATCAGTTATGCTAAACTCAAATAATATAATATAAAGAAAGTTATCTATCAGCATAAATGTCTGATCGCAGTTTCTTTGTAGAACTTCAAATAACGTGACGTTTAATCACATAATTCTCATCATCTGTGTGCCTCTTGGATTCAGATGTAAAACAACTCTAAAATTAAATTTTTAAAGTACTATTAATGAACTACCCTACTTTATAAATAACATTAATGAATAGCATAATACGTGGTAATAGAAAATAGACTACTCCAAAATTCAAAGAAATAAACACTTAATATTATAGTCGGAAACAAATGGTGTCAGAGACGTGCCCCTCAATGGCACAGCGGTATGTCTGCGGACTCGCAACGCTAGAAACCGGGTTTCGATACCCGTGGTTGGCAGAGCACAGATCGCCCACTGTGTAGCTTTGTGCTTAATTCCAAACAAACAAACAAGTCAGAGACGTATTCAGACTACTTGAGGCCCTAGGCGCAAAAACAGACTGAGGCCCCTTAGGCCTTAGCCATGTAAGAAACTTGTAAAAAATATTGACACATAAGAGACCCATACGCATTATTTGTTCATGAATTTTATATCAGTGGATAAGAAATTTTACGCCTATAAATACGTGTCACGTTTTCACAAATAAAAAATCAGCATAAGCTACAGGTCCTGTGAGGCCCCCTTTGTATCGAGACCTCCAGCTAGCGCCTCATGCATAAATCGGGCTCTGAATGGTGTGAAAGCAATTACAAATACTTACATGTATTTAGCTACATTCAAGCTTCACCTGTTATGTTCTCAAAATGTGACACATGAACTTCGAAAGCAATAAATGAAAATATTTGTTACTCTTAATATAAATTTTATTTACTCTTTGAACTGGACACTTTTGGAGTCCCTGCGGAAGTACATCTAGTATAACATTGCCTTTTTTTATTAATTTCGCATAAATTTCAGTTAAACACAAACCACGCATCTACAGTGAAATAAAAATGAAGGACAAAACACCTGACATTTTTTGCTGTTGACAGGCGTTGAAGTAGTTACATTAGGTATCTAATATTTATTTTTTTTACACTTAATTTCTTGTACAACAATCTCTGGATAACTATGGACGCACATAAAAATAGAAATAAATAAAAAAGCAATACGAGATTTAGTGTTGGATAGCTGCTAAATGAATATATTTATTCGTGATTCCACGGAGTTAATGTTAGAAAAATATTCCTTTTTTATTTTTTCTGATGTCGCGAACATGCGAAATTGACAAAAAAAAAAAAAAATACCACATGTTCTAGTGAAATTTAGAATGTACATCCGTAAACAGTAATTTGGGAATTC